GAGGGAACGTTGGTGGGCACTCCACGAAATGAATGCGCAGTAGACCTAGAAGAACAGCTCAAAGGAAGTATTTCTTCACCCAAAGAGTGAAGAGCCCCTGGGATTCACTACCAGAGGGAGTGGTGGTGGCTACAAGCATAGGGGATCAGATACGCATGTGGAGCAAAGGTCCACGTGTGGTTATAAGCCACAAAGTCTAGATGAGGCCAGGAAGCCATTTTTCTCCAGGTCAGTTTGGCTGGGAATCCAGGGGACTCCAGAGTCTTTTCCAGCATCGTAATTCGAAAGTATCTGCTCTTCGGCGCTCGGACTTCTTTGTGGTCCAACTCTTGCAGCCGTACATTACTACTGGGAATACCATCGCTTTGACCATACAGACTTTTGTTGGCAGGGTGATGTCCCTAGTTTTTATTATGCTGTCCAGCTTTGCCATCGCTTTCCTGCTAATCCTCCAGGAAGCTCAAAGTGGCATCTGTCTCCCCTCCCCTCCGATTCATCCTCAGAACACTCCTGCGAGCAGGGGTCATTTCCTGCGGGAGCGCACAGGAGCGGAGCTCCGGCAGTAAGGAGCCCAGGGGACGGGTACATGCAACAAGCCCCGCCCCCTGCTCCCAGCAGCCCTCAGTTGGGCCACGAGGAGCAAGAAGAAGCCAGGAAATGTCAGCTATGCTGCCGTGGGGGTTGGGATGTTCTTTCAGTGTCTGTGTAAATTGCTTTCACATTCCTTTCTCTCTGCTCTGCACTGAAATGCTAATCTCCAAAGCCGTACGGGTGGTAATGTGTGTTGTCTGCCTTCAAGGCCAACTGTGGGAGCCGCGCAATTCCCAGCTTCGCCTAGTAACGCTTGCCGGATCTAGCCCGCGCGCGGGAGGGTGCCTAATTGGCCAGCGCAGTGGGGGGGGGTGTGTGCATACGAATGCCCTATATCTCATTAGGTTCAAGAGGCAACTTCTATTCTTAAAACAGTGACTATGTTAATGCATCTATGGCTCTTCAATAAAAGCATAACCTTTCTAAAGAAGTGTGTACTCTGTTGTTGGCTGTGGGTTCTGACAGGAAAGTTACAGAGCCCGCCGCCCACCCGCCGCCGCTGTTTTAAGACCAGATTTTATTCAGGTACAAGCTCTCCCTCCTCTGCGAGGACAGATCTGCATGTCCCCCCCCCAATAGCTAGCAATCCAAAACAATCCAGTGGAGCCTGAGCGGCGGGTGTTGCCTTCTGACACGCTTCCGGTGATGTCAGGGGGTGTGGCATAGGCAAATAGGTTATGCTAATGAGTTATGCTAATGAGCTCCTGCACCTCTTTTTCTACGAAATGACCCCCGCCTGCGAGCAATGCTCCCTCTAAGCTGTGGAGTCCTGTGAGCAAAAATTCTACTTTGTGAGCTACTGGCATTAAAAGCTGTGGGCGAGCAATTTGGCTACTGCATAAATTTAGTTTGCTCTGGAGGCATCCTTCCCGAGCTGAGGCAAAAATGTGTGAGCTGGAGGCTAAAAAACTGTGAGCTAGCTCACACCAACTCAGCTTAGAGGGAACACTGCCTGCCCGGTAGTTTTGGCTGGGAGAGAGTGACTGGCCAAGGTCACCTAGTGAGTTTCGGCACTAAGCGTGGGGCAGATCCCTGCTCAGCACCTTAACCTAACCCTCGTGCCACCGAGGAGCTAGATTTCTCTCTGGCCCGCTGGGTTTTTGGGGACACTTTTCGACCCAGACGGTGTCTGCCTTTTAAGGGTCTCCACTCTCTGAGCCATTCTTGACTTCCTGGTTCTGTCTCATGACGGAAGTCCGAGGGAAGGCTTGAGAAATGCCAGACGGCAGCTGGTGACCCTTAATACCGTCTCCAGCAGGGCTTTTAAAAAGAGGAAGCGGAAGCAGGTAGATCTTGCTGTGTTTGTGTGGTTTTTTGTAAATGTCTCCAGTTTGGTTAATCATGGCATCCCGTTATCTGCCGTGGCTCTGTTTTTTCCAAAGCATGGATCTACTCTTTCTCAGAAGGAGTCGGGGTCGTTCATCACCCCGGTGAGTCAGCAAGAGAGAGGCCGTTTGCAAGAACGATGATGCAAGCTTTTTAAGAAGCGTCCGGACGGGAACTTGCAAGTGATAGAGGGTGGAGTGGGAGCACGTTGGGTTGTGGCGGTCTTCCTTCTTCTCGTCTTCACCGTCTTTATTTTATTTTTTTCGCATGGCCCACAAGCCACTTCTGGTTGCCGAAGCCCTGGCAGGTGGCCCTAACAAAAGGCGTGCGGTTTCAAACCTTTCTTGCTTGCAGTTTCCGTTTATCGAGAAAAGGAACTCTGTGTCTCTGTGTGGGTTTCAGGTCTGTGTTGCGAGCGCCTGCATCTTCTGGCGGGGTAAAAGTCGGTGCCAGCTGGCCCCTTGGATAATGCTTTTAAATCCAGTTTGTCTCTGTGATTGAGGATTCAAAAGACGTGCAGAGGCCCCTGGGTTCAAATTTCCACTTGCCTCTGTAGCTTGCTAGGTGAACGTCGGCCAAACCTGAGTTTATACCCAGGATACAACCTTTGTTGGTCTTAAAGGTGCACTGGACTCAAACTTTGTTCTGTTGCTTTAGACTTACATGGCTACCCACCGGCATCCAATGCTCCCTCGAAGCCAGGGGTGTCAAACTCATTTGTTATGAGGGCCGGATCTGACATAAGTGAGACCTTGTCGGGCCGTGCCCTGTGTGTCATAAAATGTCATGCCAGGTAGCGGAGATATTAAACTTTCTAAAGGACACAAGCACAAAGGGCTTTTTTAAAACTTAAAATAAAAAAATGTACTTAAAATTAAAACATGAGCACTCTTGCGATGTTTTGTCTATTTAACAGTGTCTGATAACTGACCCCTCTTGCTCTGAATTATTACATCAAAATGTCTGCGCTGTTGCAATCTTGAGTATGCTGTTCAGGGGTGTATCTGTAAGCTGCAAACCTACAATGACGCAGCAGCAGCAGAGCTGGAAGAAGAAGCAGAAGACAGCCAGTTCCACTGCGGGCCTGATAGAAGCCCTCCGGGGGCCTTTTGCGGCCCCCGGGCTGCATATTTGACACCCCTGCTCTAAGCTGTGGAGTCTTGTGAGCAAAAATTCTACTTTGCGAGCTCCTGGCATTAAAGTTGTGAGCGAGCAATTTGGCTACTACATAAATTAGTTTGCTCTGGAGCCATCCTTCCTGAGCTAAGATAAAAATGTGTGAGCCAGAGGCTAAAAAACTGTGAGCTAGCTCACACTAACTCAGCTTAGAAGGAACGCTGCAAATCTATGGGCCAAACCTGTCAGCCTAACCTTCCTCCAGGCAGGATGAGAGGTCTATGGTTTGTTGAAGAGGGGTGTCTTCGCTCTCTGTGCATCCATTTTTGTTTCATCCTTCTTTGAGGGATCTTCGGGCAGCCTGCGTGGTCCTCCTCACGTATTTGTCCTCACACAACAGCCCTGTGAGGGCGGGCAGACTAATGGAGAGTAATCAGCCTCAAGTCACCCACTGTTCTAGATGGCAGAGTGCGGAGATCTGAACCCAGGTCTCCATGGCCTGAGGCTTTAACCACTACGCCACACCGTTTCTCAGTTCCTTCCGGCCTGTCGTTTCCGTGTTGGAAAACGTCTGGGGCATGGCCTCTTTTTACACACAGCACCAGAGTTTAGCAGTCGGGCCTTGAAAAAAATTGAAAGCACTGTGGAGCTTTGTGAAGGGGGATGACGAAGGGGAAATCGAGTCTTTAGCAGTAGAGTTTCAGTTTGAGTGCGAAGAAACACAGAAAGGCAGGGAGACGAATTTGCGATAGTCTTGGCCAGGAAGAAGAGCAAGGTCAGTCTGGAAACGATGGCCTTTTGCACACCTGACGATGTAGTGATGGCCACAGGCATAGAGAGATTTTAAAGATTCACGGAGGAGACGTCCGTCAGAGCTACTAGCCAAAGGGACTTAAAGGGAACCTCCACATTCAGAGGCAGTCGGACTGTGATTTCCAGGGATAGGAGGCAACATTAGGAGAAGGCCTCAGTCTCTCTGTCCTGTTGTTGGTTCTCTAGAAGGTTGGCCACTTTTTGAGGCAGGATGCTGGACTGGATGGACCACTGGACTGATCCAGCAGGACTCTTCTGATTTTCTTCTCAGGGGAAGGCCTTGGCCTCTATGCCCTGTTGTTGGTCCTCTAAGGGAACTGGTTGGCCGTTGTGTGAGGCAGGATGCTGGACTGGATGGACCACTAGACTTATCCAGCAGGACTCTTCTGATGTTCTTCTCAGGGGAAGACCTTGGCCTCTATGCCCTGTTGTTGGTCCTCTAAGGGAACTGGTTGGCTGCTGTGTGAGGCGGGATACTGGACTGGATGGACCACTAGACTTATCCAGCAGGGCTCTTCTGATGTTCTTCTCAGGGGAAGGCCTTGGCCTCTATGCTCTGTTGTTGGTCCTCTAGAGGAACTGTTTGGCTGCTGTGTGAGGCAGGATGCTGGACTAGGCGGACCATGGGTCAGATCCAGCAGGGTTCTTCTGATGTTCTTCTCGGAGGAAGGCCTTGGCCTCTATGCCCTGTTGTTGGCCCTCTAAGGGAACTGGTCGACCACTGTGTGAGCCAGGATGCTGGACTAGATGGACCCTCACTGGTCTGACCCAGCAGGGCTCTTCTGAGGTTCTTCTCAGGGGAAGGCCTCGGCCTATCTGCCCTGTTGTCGGCCCTCCAGAGGAACTGTTGGCCACTGTGCGAGACGGGGTGCTGGACTAGGTGGACCCTCGCTGGTCTGATCTACCAGGGCTCTTCTTAGGTTCTTACCAGGGCCTCTATGCCCTGTTGTTGGACTCCCAAAGGAACTGGTTGGCCACTATCTGAGATGGAATGCTGGACTTGATGCTCTGATCCAGCAGGGCTCTTCTGATGTTCTTTTGCATATGCTGAAGGGGAAGGGATGGGATTTGAAGACACCTGGTGGGTTTGAACAGGACTATCCCCTGGGTATCATGGATTCTCTAACCTGTTCTCTCTTTCCTCCTTTTTGTAGCTGTCGTTCAAGTAGATTTCCAAAGAAGGAAGAACGTTCTCATCAGCAGCTCTGTTTGGAAGCCGGAAGGAATTTCCCACTCTTTGTAACCCAAGAGTGGCCCTGGAAATGCCGGTCGACGTTTGAATTTTTGACCAAGCAGCAGAAACTACTTTGGGGCGGGAGCAAACCCTTCTTGCGTGGTGCCACAGAGGTCCGGCCAAGAGGGTGGATTACCGGAATCCGTGAGGAGATCAACACATCAGCTAGAAAGCTGGAATCCTCGACGAATATGAGTGATTTTTGGCACAAGCTGGGTTGTTGCGTAGTAGAGAAACCACAGCCGGTGAGTAGCCATTGGTGACTGCCTGACTGGTTGTAACATACACAAACACACCCATGCTCCTTTCAACCTTATCTACTCTTCCTTATCTACTCTGCCTCTGTTCGCTTTCGGTTTAACTGACACAGTCACATGAATCTGCCTTACTATGAATCACAGAATGGCAGGAGCCCTCCAGGGTCTCAGGCAGAGAAAGGTCTTTCCCATCCCCTCCTACCTGGTCCTTTTTAACTGGAGAGGCCGGGGATTGAACCTGGGACCTTCTGCATCCCAAGCCGATGCTCTGCCACTGAGCCCTGGGAAGTCACTGCCAGTCTGAGTAGACGGCACTGACCGAGATTGACAGATGATCTGATTCGGTAGAAAGCAGCTTCATGTGTGTGTGTTCAGGCTACCATTTGCCCAGTTTCAAGGACTGGGGTGGTAGAAATAGTCCATGCTCTGCTGTAGAATCTCTCCATTTTTGTTACAATGAAAGAATAGCCTCACAAGGCCTGTTCTCTTGGGTCCCAGATGGTTGGAAGACCCCACGGCCGCCCCAGGTCTCTGCCTGATGCCACCAGCCCTTCTCCTTACTCCTGGGGAGGTCAAGATCTAACTGGGTAATAACTGTCGCCACCAGCAAATCTGAGGATGTCTCCTGCTCGACAGATTTGCACGTGCAACATCATGCTTGCATTGCAGTGTGGTGGCTCTGCCTAGTTTCCTGTGTCTCCTGCTATCTCCAAGCTAGCACAGACAATCTGTTGCACTTTGGCAGTTTTTAGCTACTTTGCTCAGTACCTGCTCCCCCTCCACTTTGCTTCACTTTAGATAGCAAGACCAAAGAGACATGGTGTGACTATAGAGGAGATCAGGCTTAGAGTGTTCAAAATATAAGAAAGTTTAATAAGGAAAAATTGAAATTGAAAAGAGTACACACGGTACATCCATTCAAGCACCAGGCTGAGCAAGGATACAAAGAAAAGGTGAAAACATGGAGTCCTCTTATCCTACGCACAGTACATATCCTAAACGATAGACTACTTTCAGAGGGTAGCCATGTGGTTCTGAAGTAGAATAGCTAGATTTGAGTCCGGTAGGACCTTAGAGACCAATTTCCTGGAGCTTTGACTCTTGAAATCTTATAGCTTGAATATCTTGTCGGTCTTTAAGGTGCTACCAGACTCGAATTGAGGATAGGCTAGTAATTCTTGAAGTTGTAGCATTTAAAAATCTGTCATTACCTTAGTTCTGTTGGATCCCCAAGCATCGAGAATAAATCCACGTTTCAAAGAAAGCAAAGTTTATTTCAAAGCGTTGGAAAGATACTCAAACACGTTCTTTGTTAGAACTGGGGACCAGCAGTTAGGGCAGACATGATAAAGGGATTCAAGTTAGATACAGAACCAATGGATAACGTTCCCGCCGGCGGGCAGGAGAAAACGGTTGCTTGCTCAGATCTTGGGAACCAGGCAAACAGTAGACACAACACAGGTGCAGTTCTCAGGCTTGAGAAATAACAAGCTAGCAGCGAAGCATACTCTCCCCCTCACATCCTCCAGTTGTTGTACTTTGGCATTACAGCAGGCAAACACATAGGTCAGCTGGCAGGGACAGGGATCACATATGTACAACCAGAAGTTACACAGAACACCATGGCAGCTTGCTGACATACTGCCCCCTCAAAAACACACTTTAACCGTCACCTCCCGGGCTGGGCGGGAGACCTCCCGGGCTGGGCGGGAGACCTCCCGGTTTGTCCGGGAACTTCCTGTGGAAACAACGAAGCAGGTAAGGGGCCCGAATATCCCCTTCTTCCACCCATTCGCGGTGCTGGGGACCGAAATCAACCCATTCAATGAGGTACCAGAGTTTACCACGTTTCAGCTTGGAATCAAGGATATCAGCGATTTCAAAATGCTCATCCCCCTCAAGGATTATCGGAGGCGGGGGAGAAACAGTCGGCCTCCATGGAGAGGTGCCAGGATCCTTCTTCAGCAAACTCATGTGAAATACAGAATGCAGAGAACGCAAATTTTTAGGCAATACAACATCAACAGCAACATCATTAATCACCTTGCGCACCTTGAACGGCCCAATAAATTTCCAACCCAGTTTTCTGCTAGGGCGCAACATCTTGATGTTTTTAGTAGAAACATACACAAGGTCCCCAGGTTTCAGATCAAATCCCACCACCCTACCCTTGTCTGCCTGGGCCTTATAAGCTGCTTTAGCAGCATCGAGAGTTTGACACAAAAGCGGCCACGCAGTTCTTAGAGAAGAACACCAGGTATTAGCATCACCCACGGGACGGTCAGAGACCCCCTCCAGGAAAGGAAGGGGGGGCTGTCATACCCAGAGACAGCCTTGTATGGAGACATGCCAGTCGAACTATGCACAGTGTTATTGTAACAATATTCAGCCAGGGGTAACAAATCAGCCCAATCATTTTGTTGGTAATTAGTGAAGCAACGAAGGTACTGTTCCAAAGTTTGATTAACCCTTTCTGTTTGGCCGTCAGTCTCGGGATGATAAGCGCTGCTGAGCCCCTGCTCCACCCCCAAAATAGCGAGGAGTTCCTTCCAAAATTTAGAAACAAACTGGGTCCCCCTGTCAGAAATTAACTTAGTAGGCAATTGATGGATTTTCACCACATGAGACATGAACGCCGCAGCCAACCTCTGCGCGGTAGGCAGTGAAGGGAAAGGAACGAAATGGGCTTGCTTAGAAAACAGATCAACCACCACCCAAATAACAGTGTTCCCCTTGCTCACAGGGAGATCAGTGATAAAGTCCATAGAGACCACTTCCCACGGTCTGGAAGGAGTAGGCAAAGGATGCAAAAGTCCAGGAGGCTTCCCCCCCCTAGGTTTAGTCAATGCGCAAGTTTGACAGGTGCGTACAAATTCCAACATATCTTTGCGCATGTGGGGCCACCAAAACTGCCTGCGGAGGAGTTGAAGCGATTTAACAAAGTTCCAATGGCCCGCAAGTTTGGAACCGTGGGCAGAGTCCAACACTTCCCTCCGGAGGGAAGTCGGGACAAACAGTTTATCTCCAGAGTAAATCAAGCCCTCAGGGCTGCGGATACAGTCAGGCAATCCCAAAATATAATCATCATCCTCTTTGGAGAAAGCAGAGATATACTTGTGGACCCACGCCCCCCCCACCGCAGGGAGCGGGGAGAGCGGAGAAACGTC